CACAACGTGCGCGCTCGGTTCTCGGCTCGGAGCCGAGCTTCTGCTGGTGGCACTCGACGGGGGATCACCTCGTTTCAAGCCTGATAACGCCCGCATCCACGGGCACGAAACGGCAAACCTGCCGACCATACGAAATGGCACCGAGGACTCGTTCCAACTACGACCTCAACTTTCCGTTTCCGTTCTCCCACCGTATGGGAAACTAACCGACATTTTTTTCCCTTATCACAGCGCGCCGCGACGTCGACGACGGTTCCGTGTTCTCGATTACGAACGTGTATGTACGCATATGCTTGTGCCCCGCGCGCGGATTGTTCAGCTGTCTCCTCTGCGGACGCGCAGCCAAGGGAAAAAGAAAACTGCGTTTGTAAAGGACTCGCACCCCCATAAACGCGGTCGCAGGTGGCCACGACGTGTTCGGGGACATGGAGAAAGCTCACCGTTCGTTTCCTCGCTGGCCTAACTTGCTCTACAATTTTACGTGCACGTTTCTTCCATGCTATATTCGCGAGCCTCTATGAATGATCCGGTTATCTGAACCGTTTTGTCCCCGCGCGCGTTCTGATGAATGGAGTTCTACTGTGCATTCTTCTCGGAACTTCTACCCGTCGGCTTCTGGGACGAAGACAGAGCTCAACGGTGAAATTGCTCGATTACCGAACCCGGCGTCAAGCGCGGAGAAAAGCGCGGAGGAATAAGAGAAAGAAAAGAATGCCAACAATGTCGCGGTTTATCTGCGCGTCCTTGGCTAATCTCTGTCCGTGAAAGATTACCCTATCACAGGGAATGTGCTATGTCTCCGGCGCTCGGTATACGTAGGCGTTTCTATCACATCTATCGCCTGTATCTCCTCTATCTCTTCCCTATCGTCCCGAAGATCCCCGTGACCCAAAAGTCGCTTTCTTTACTCTCCCAATATTCTCTGCACTCTTATACTAACCCATTTTTCAACCTAATAATGATTTTTATATCATTTGTATATTATATTAACTTTTTCATTCCATCCAATAATTATTTATGTTATTAAGTATCAATTATCCTTTCTAATATCATCGTCTTGACTTGTATAATTTGCTCCAAGAATTGTTAAATTCACCTTTTGAAAAATTCACCCTAGGAAATCGTCCGCGTGTGTTTCGTGCGAATACAATTTGTAATTCGCAAGAGTCAAAGGCAAAACACGATACGTTGAGCCAGTCGTTCCACGAGTCGGTCGTACGAAGTGGAACGAAGAACCGCGAGAAAGTACCTACGTGTACGGGTATATACGTACACGTATGTACACACGTCTGTATGTACATAGGGGGAGCGACGCGGCTCGAAGCGAATGCAGACTGTGTAAGACGGACAAGGGAGGAGAAAACGAGGCTAAGCAGGACGATGCGCGTTACGTTGGGTCATGCCGCGAGGCGTTATCGCAGACCGGCGGTCGGCCGATACCTTATCTGGAGTAGTTGCACACCAACAGTGACTCCCAACTTGCTCCCATCGCGATCCTCCTCACGCGCACACGATTCAGCCTCGAATTTACAAATAACGTTACCAGGCCATCGCGATCCTGCTACTTCAATAAGTGTCTGAATTAAGAGACCAGAGAACGTATGAAAATGATTGAAATCGATGACGCCGGACGGAGAATCGACTAGAAGTACGTTTAACACAAACCTAGAATCGTTCCCCTTAGACACTCTTTTGGAACAAACATTTCAAGTTCTTGAAATTGTTTCAAGATTCGCGTGCACAGCTAAACGACAAATTAGCTGAGAAAGGTTTGTTCTTAAAATCCGTAAACGCGAATGCACAATCATTGAACCGCGCATTTCATTGAAAAAGGATAGATAAACGATGAGTACGAAACTGTCTGGAGGATCACGAGCCGTACCGAACAACCGATCAGGACTGGACTAACTTTGTAAGCTGCAAGAAGACTGCTGCGAGGACAGAGCTAGACATCTCTTCGCCAAGCGGCGGTGTATCGCGAGATAACTCTAATCGTGGCACACCGGCCGATAGAACACCACCCATCGTCCCGCCTAACATGCAACCGAGATAGAAGCTGGCGCGTGTATCGAATATCGCGTATACGTCAACATCAACATTCCGTGTGAAAATTGGTCCATCGCTAAAATCAGATGCGATCGCCATGGTTCTTAAGCAAGTGTCAATCTTGGAAAACAATCTCGTTCGTTCCTTGTGCTAATTCCCCACATTTCCTACAAAAAAAATTTAAATAAACCCAAAAAGGTCCGATCAAATGACAGTTTTTAAACTCTTCTATAAAAAATAAAAAGAAAACGAAATTTGTTGTCGTATTCCTGAAATAGTAATTATTATTTAAGCTAGGATCGAACTGAAGTGCCAACTCTAAATTGCATTCAAATGTAAGAAATATGAACATATTACTATGTAAAAACTGTCGAAAGCTTTAGTGTTAAATCGAATGTACAGAAAATGTGAGTACATGAAAAACATTGAAATGTAAATGGAATCTCAATTTAGGTTTCACCTTTTAAATTGACATTCACATCAGATCAATTCGTCTACATTTTCGTAAAAATTTCCATACAGGAACAGAAAGCCAAAAGATTGCACAAACTCTTGGATCATTTATTTCTTCCTCATTCCACTCTGATAACGTCTTATATTTAACAAACGAGAAACGATTTAAACGAGGGGAGGAAGAGTGTGCAAGCAATTATTCTACGAAATGAGGGAACGTCGAATAGAAACAAGACAAGCGGTGACGAATATTCGTAATGTTTCTAGCCTCGTTCTAACTAACCGTGCCCGTACGTGTGCACGCGCGTTAACTTTCTTCGGCTGGTAACCTTGAGTGTGCTACGTATATCGCATACGAAACCTCGTTATACGAACGTAGCGATTCGATAGAAAACGAGCAGACGAACTGGGAACCGATTTAATGATCCGAGAATCAGAACTCATGAGATTAAGAACTCCAGGAGCGCGCAGGTATCTCGAGATCGTTCACGAGCCAGGATTTCTAACCGACCGTTTCGAGAAACTCGAAAACAATGGGCTACTAGACGGATCGTAAATAACGCGGTACCGGGTACCTACTTATATGCGTATGTAGCTGTAGCTAACACGAGCCCCGGCTCGCTTCTCGCTGATTGCCAGCCTCAACCGGAAAAAGGTACGCGTATTACCGGTAGCAAATCGCTTATGAACCTCGATCCATGATCGATTCGCCTGCAATGTTAGTTCAAGCGTCGCCTAATCGTATATTAGAAACTATTAGAAGATTGGATAGGAGAAGCCGCGAAAGAAAATTGATGCCTACATTAAGGATAAATGTTTAAAAGCTGGTTAAGCTGTAGACGAAGTTTAACAATTGAAGTGGCTAGACGTGGTTGATCAACCGGTTTGTTCGAAGGGCTGCTACCACGAATTTAATCGAGGAGCAATCGAGGCGGAGCTATCCAAGAGAAAGGAATTATTCTCTTCAGCAGCGTTAGAACGAACCATTCGCGTTACGCCGCGGCCATTTTCGAGCATCCATGATATAGCGCATCCTCCACCTTCTTCTCCACCTCTTTCTATCATTTACCTATGAAAAAACACCAACAGCAGGACCGAGCTACTACTTCGCCTGCGATCAGTCGCAAGCCTCGCTTATCGCAATTGTTTCTGTCGTTTTGCAAAATTTTCGTTCGATGTATTCGCGAAAACATTCCATGAGACCGTGTAAATTTAGCTTTTAAATGGCAACTATGCTAAATAACATCGTACCATTGTTGCGTACGTTGACCCATGACGACGCAACATGTCCGTCAGTTGGTAGAAAAACTGAGATAACAAAGTGGACTTGGACCCCGTGAACAAGCGTAACAACTTTGCTTCTTCACGATTCTCGTATGCTCGAAAATTCCATCCCTTGTCGCCGAGCTCCGCGTCGGCTGTATGTATACTTTTTTCATCATCCTCGCTGCACCGAGGAAATAAGCTGAGGGTCTGTTTGCCTAATCCAGGCCAACTTGAGCTTTAGAATCGTATGCGAACGTGCAAACGTCGGAATTGTTGTTAGGACAAAGAGAAAAAGAAAGAGGGAGGTTTGCTGACCAGACGACGACGGTCCATAAGAATAACGCAAACAAGCGTATCGTCGATAGAACGGAACGCTGTGAATCATAACGCGACGGGCGTGCAAGTAAAGTTCGACCTACGGCTAGTGGCAGACCTAGAAACATTTTGTTTAGAAAACCGTTTTCAAACGCTATTAAGCTTTTGCATGTAAAATTATTCGCTACTTCGAATCTCGAAATCATCTTCGGAGATTAGGTATTAATAGATTAGGTTAGCCTAAAGTCAGCGACTGGAGTAGAATTGAGGAATCCCGGGAATGATAAGAAGATCACCGAACGCGTGTTACAATATCCGACCGCAAAACGTTTATGTTTGTACGTAAGTAATCAAGCGGTCGGTCTCGTTCGAAAACATCAGGTCAACGAAAAGATCTTCGAAAAAGTCTGATTACGAGAATGACGAAACATGGTGCAAACGCAACGCCTATTCTCGAGTGGCTAATTAGCCTGAGCAAAAGCGCGTGAGGACGTGGAAGCTATAGCTGCTGAGGCATGTAATCGCAAACGAAAATCTCGTTAGCTGATTCGCGAACACAACAACAACAGCCAAGTAGGAACGCGTAGACTGTGTTATCGCGGCCAGTAATAGAATTATCACTCTGATATCCAACGTATATACATGGCTCACGATCGGCTCCCGGTTTCCAGTGACTCGCAGACTACCGTGGCCCGTTGTTAACCTGCTCGATTCATCATCGTAAAGCTCATTTTTTTTTCACGGTCCTACGATCTATCCGTACGTAAACGCCGACCATTTTGTATCCTCGAAGCTACGGTCTCTTCATCTGACCGGTGACCGCGGCGTAAATCGATTTCTCAGTGGCGATCTCTACGTTTTCTAAACGCGCATCGCAGTGTACTTGTATTATCACCGAAATAGAAAACGAGATCGCTCACCATATTCGCCGTGGCAACGCTTCTTCATCTCTTCGCTCGCTTCACCGTCATTCCTCCGGCTCTTCATTTTCCGCACGCTTCTTCCGACGATAAAAGTGAATCTATCGTATACTTCTTGCCCAGACGTTCTCCAGAGAAAGACAGTCGCTAACTATTTTCGTAGAATTGCCCAATCGATTTTGCAGTCCTTTTTCTTCGTATTACGTTTACTTCCTACTTGAATTTTCCTACGTAATTTACGTTGCACCAAACCACTCGTTTGAATCGAGGAGGCGAAGTACGAACAACCGCGAAATTCGTTGTAAGCGTTCTACCGTTTGCCGATTAGAATCGTGCACGCGTTGACCACTGTTCTAAGATCGGAAGCGAGGCTGGTGTGCAGTGCATTATGTACATAGAGGAGAACCAGTGAGCAGAGTGTAGCTAACAGAGAGGGCACGCGATAGAAAGAGCGAGAGAATGACCGATAGAGAAAGAGAGCGAGAAAGAGAGAGAGGGAGAGACTATCGTAGCTTCGTGGATAGTCGAATCAGATCGGGTGGAATATTGAATCGAGTCGAACGAACGGCATCCGATCGAATTCCATTGGACCTTGATGAATCAAGTCGGATAAAGTTCGAACAAACCTCTACTCGATTTTGTAGAAACTCAAACTAGCCGAAGTGAGTATATTTTATAAAAAAAAAGAGAACACGCTAGCGAGTCTCTCAGTAGCCAAACGGGGGAGTTCTGGTTCCACTGCGATCGCAGCTTTTCGTTTCAAAGTGGGGGTACCGCGAATAGCGCTGAAGAAAACCGCGTACCCTGCGAGCTCGTTAGCTTCGACGTGGATCAGCATAAGCATATAAATACATACCGTAGTTGCGAAAAATGTTGTCATGACACTTTGTTCGTTTCAAAATTGAAACAATTATAAGTATGTTCAATATCTTAGAGTCTTTTAGTCAATAACGCTGCTTTATATGAATACATAAAATAACGTAGAAAGACAAATGAAATACCTGATTAAAACTGACTTGAAGTAACGAATAATTCTCGTGTCGAAATTCATATTTCCATTTGGTGGGCGGGAGAACCTTCGGTCTTCGAACACGTTGCTTCTACTAAGACGATGACACATTCCCTCGTCGATCGTAACTTTTCAGGATCCACGAAACAAACAGCAAACAGTGAAACGTTTGTCCATCATGTCATAAATCATCCCAGTGAGTCATAAAAGTTTTCCTACGACCGGATTACGCACAAAACATAAACAAATTACCTGTTTCAAAGCGGGGAATAACGATACGAAAAGCCGTTAATGCACAAAGGACCACATGGACAGTTTGCGGAAACGTCGGTTGTTTGCACCGCCATGATTCATATTTCGCCAATGACTTCACAACGCGCGCGCCGATCGTTTACAACGGTACACCACCTCGCCTACCGAGCGAAAAACATAAATATTTTCTATTTCGATTCAGAACGACGGACATCGCACCCGCACTATAAACGCATCGCACACTGCACACGTTCGATAATCGAGTAAATCGATATTGCTTCGCTCGGTCAAGGATATGCCGTGTTACCGGAAGCGTATCGATACTCAAGGACAACCAACTTCATTCAGTCTTCGATTAATTGAATTGATCGAACACAAGCCATGCGTTCGATTTCTCCTGCTTATGATACGTGACACTGAGTTCAATTTCATGTTCTTATTACAGTTACGTATGAACTCAATGGTGTAAGACATGATTGCTAAAAATATTCTATTAAAATAATCAGCAAAGAGTACGTCCGATTTTTTAATATATCATTTCCAACCATCTAATAATTATACATGAGCTATACGATGTATAATAAAAAGAAGTTGACCCTGTTTTCACGAAGCAAGTTTACTACAAGAGGAACAGCATTGCGGTGCACGGAATAGGGTCGAGCTCTCGAGTTGCTAGCTTCACCTAACGACTTTCTGCTGATCGTTTATTGTTTTCGCCAGGAAACAATCAACGTCCCCGCAAGGGTTTAACTCCGACACCTTACGTACGCGAAGGTTCACGACGTGAACAAGTAGGCTAAGTCGATTCGCGACAGTTACCGTTCCGCCCTAACTTCTTTTTTTTAGTCTATTTATAGATATAAGCACATGCAATTTGCACGTTAGCGTTTATTTAGATCGATAAAGATCTGAGTCGATAGTACGCGGCGCCTCCTTTCATTACGAAGAACAATGCTTGCTCGTGAGTCGTTACATTTTGTTCAAAGTGGAAATAATTTGTGTTTCCAGCTTAAAAGAAGAATAAAAGGTCGGGGAGAGTCGGTCAAAGGTCAGCATCGTTTGACGATACGTGCGCTCATGAGCGCAGCGTTATTTTTCCACCGTGTGTACACAGGACCGACGACCGACAAAGAAAGAACAAAGTGTATCGTAACCAATTGATAATAGCTGTCGGTATTTAAGTCGATATTTCTACTGACACGGTGCTACGTGTGCTATTTATTCTTTTGCTAGAGTTTGATCGCACTCAGCGACGTGAATGACGCCTCGACTGACGAGAAACAAACGTTACGAGGAGCTTGCAACTTGCACATGAACCGGAGACGCAAACTTCTTCCTTTTATAAAGAAAATTTAAAAAAAATGTAGAGGTCTCTCATTAAAATAAGCAAATCGAAAGAACGTTCATTCACGTAACGTAATCTTTATTTTACGATTTCATCCAATGTCGAGTTGCTTATGCTCAATAAATTTTTCTCTACTATTAACAAGAATTGTGTGATCCACTGAATCAATATGTCCCGTAACGAATCATTCGCATGAGTAATGAAATGTTACAGCCCAGATTGTCCCGCACGTATGTGCCCAGAAAACGGTGTGAGAGAGTTTCTCATGCGTCTTTTCATTAAATGATACCTAACTCGAAGGATTTAAAAGCTGTAGCCGTCTACGACCTATCTAAAATGTAGATCGACCGATCACGTGTAGATAGTATAATAAAAATGGCATCCCTTCAATTAAAAGATCATACACGATTTAGAAACCCTGTTTTCACGGTGTTTCTTTAATAAAAAATAAACAAACAAAACGATCTTATAAACACGATTGTGAATAGATGAGGTAATCAACAAACAGAAGGAAATCGGTTTAGACATCGCCGATATCAATTACAAGCTTCTCTGGAACTGCACCCACAGAAATCGTGATACTCGATTATTTCTTCCTCCCGGCATTTGACTAAATTATGTACGTTACGACCCGTACTCGACTATTCGTTACCCTTAACCAATTATCAATCCACAACCCAGTCTGAACTGCTGTTTACTATGATTCATCATACCACTTAACGCGAACGTAAATGGTAATGGTTGCAATTTCTTTTCCAAGACAGCGCCCACCGTCCAATTCGTATCTACGGTTCCTGCAACAAGATTCGAAATATGACCGCATGAAGCAAAATCAAAACGCAATATCTCTGTACCTCTAAATATTAAATCAGCTTTCGGTAGATCGATCTGATAAGCGATAGCCCCGGTCGATTCCTGTATTCTGCAGTTGATCTCCAATTCTACACCAACTTGTAATTGTTGACTAGCTTTTTGATGAAAACATAAGTGGCAGCCAGATAAGCCTGTTGGAAAATGATCTGCTTAGAAATAAATTGTATGAATCAACTGAAGTAGGGACGACCAGCCAGTTTACCTAAGCTACCACTAATCGTGGAGTCTCCGTTTGTATACCTCCCAGCGGCTGAGAGAACAGCGACTTGACCTCCTGGCAAAGTGGGACCTCGTTGATAAGCGAGTTCTCCTCCGAGAGCAACAGATGGAGTTATGCTTTGAAGATAATGCATCACAAAAACGCCTAAAACCAGTTAATTCCATGTCACAATCGTTTCTCAGATTTTACGCAATCAATCTTTACCTCGTTTTCTTACCAGAACCGCTGAGAACATCCGGATTACCCAAAGTTAAGGAGACTGTATATGCATCCCCACGATAATCTGTTGTCATTTGAACGGCAGTGAATTTATTTTTCTGTACTTGAGTAGCTAATTTTCCCCTCAATCTTTGACCAAACAGATGAATGATGTTGGCATTAAGATTTCCACTTGGATCAATATCACCCAACAACACTGGATATGCTTCTGTAGGAGCTGGTTGTGTTGTGCCAACATACGTTGCTCCAAACCTGAGTAGAATCAAACAATATTACATCACAGATCTCTCATATCATTAATTAATTTTTACTACTCATGTCAATGATTTCAATTTCACCTATATCCAGATGGAGTGATGGAACTCATACTTATTGTATGTGAAATTTGAAAGTGATTACTAAGACCCTTGTTGAACATCACCTTTGCACCCTCAAAGTTTGCAGGAAATACATCTGTGATCATATAAATATTCTATATTAAAATTATAGTGCAATTGCACTTGAGGAATGTGATTAATTTGTACAATGCTAATTTATCGAAAATTACAAAGTGACAATGAATAGAGCAGAAAGTAATCCGATAACGTGATGCGTGATCAAATGGACGTGGATACCTTTGCATTTCTTGTGAAGATCCTCGATTGTGCCTGGATTTTGCAAACCATCAGAATGGGATGTCGAGTGCAATCCCTCAGGAGAATCTGGCTTTTCTAAATTTGGCATTAAACCTGTGGTTGGAGGCGGCGGCGAAGGTGGAGGAGGTACAGAGGCTGCTAGAACGTTTCCCATTTTCTTCAATTTTATGCGTAAGAATCTTCGTGATTTCGATTTCTTTTTTCTGTACAGACGGTACGGAGTTCAAATCGTTTCACCAGTTACAGATCCTTACGTGAATAAGCTAAATAATTACTATATATACAAAAACCGTCAGTGAAATATCTCCCGATTATAAGAGCAGCGTGCTTCACCCTAAGCCGCCATTTGTAAGAGACAAGCATTGCCGCTTAGACCACGAGTTAGCTATCTTTCTCCTGTGAAATGTCCCTACCAAAAACGTGATTATTAGATAATGTTCCTAAACAGTAAAAATTCGGTACGACACATCAAATTATGCATATTTATATATACGTATTTGTAGATGTATTCTGATGTATACTACAATTTTAATTGATACGCGATAATATAATCAAATCTGTGTGTGAGATAACGTTATTCTGCTTCCTAGGGTCTTATTATATTTCCTCCGGTTGCGTGTATATTTCCGTCATAAAATTCGAAATTCGGATATTCAATAATCAAATAACAAACAGGTGATATGTTTTTCAACATAATTATTTATGTTCTTAGTTCAAACAATAAACAAGAATTGTATTTATATCTAATATTGTACTTTATTTTTCTCATACATACATTATCTATATACAGAAATATAAATTGTAATTTATAATTATTGTAAACAAATTAATAGTCATCTGCATATTTTAAACAAACTTTGTAGCTATGGCTAAAAGTTTTGTATAATCTGCACCTTTGGTATGTGTTTTTTCTTTCATGATTGTTCTAATAATATGAGGAATCGGTACATGTATTCTAGTACCTAAGGGTGTTCCATTGTCATCTATCAGAACTATGTTGTTGCTGTCGAACTTTGGTACTTTTGCATTTTGTTTCTGCTTCAACCCAACCAATATACCCTTCTTCTTTTCTCCTTTTATAGCAACCATTACTCTGTCACCTATGTAATTCATGTACAATGACAATGATCTGATGTCGAAGAATCTTATAGATTGCCTTACCTATGTAACCAACCCCTTTCTTATTATAAACATGAATACAACGTGGTGGTTTCCCTTCCATCATAGCCTGTTTCCCAATTTCGCTATTATCTACTACTCTTAATCTCGTTAATTTAATTATTTGATTAGACATAGTTGATGTAGAAACATTTCTAGATATAATATTCATCAGTACTCCACGTACAGGCATCATTAAAATATTTTCTACAAAGTGCAATGTTGTTATTAATAACGAGTATAATCATGTAATAATAATCATAATAGTTTTATTATCAACAAGAACTCCAGTGTGCATAAGGTTAATGCTATTAATTTTGTTTAAAAGAAAAACGTATAAACAATTTCATTACTTTTCTTTACTATTTTAATTAATCATATTTTGGTCAACTTACTTGTCGTTACTTTATTTAGAATCCCAGTGAAAGAGTGAAAGCTTTTCGTCACATAAGTTGAGAGGTTGTGATGATCTGTACAGATCGTACAGATCTGAACAATAGTAGGATCTAACCTACGTTTAGCTTTAAAAAGAAATACGTTTCTTGTTCACTAAAATGAATAAGATTCGATATTGTCACAGAACGATTAAACAATTATGTTTCGCTTATACCCCTCAAGTAAATTCATTATTCTTACGAAATTGTAGTGGAGAAAAAAGCACGAGCAATGAAATAAGTTACAGCAGTGATAAAAAATTGGAACCTAACAATTGTGAGAAAATTGTTAAATTATATAAAGATCTAAATGAAAAAGGAGAA